CGCGCTGATTGGTCGAGAAACTCACACTATCACACGATAATCACCTCGAGCGATAATCCAAAATGGCGGACAGCCGCTTTAAAGCTGTCACCGGAAAAAAATGTATTTTACCTTCTGGTTTTTTTTCTTCTTTTTTTGAAAGTATCACCTGTGTTTTATACTAAAACAATTATTTGCTTCAGCCTCGGTAAACATCGGGGAATATTTACCTCGCCGCTCGAAGACTCGCGTCTCGGTAAATATTCCTCGATATTCACTTCACCTTCGGCGAATAATTGTTAAATACTAACTGATAAAGACACGTTTTGAAAACCTTTAATAAATTACCTAAATGAAAAGCATGCATAAACAATGCATTGTTTACAAATATTAAGTCTGGTAAAATAGAGGAAAAATAATTGTAAGAACTGATCGTTTACAAAATGCCTATTTTTTGAGAGAATATCCTCACGACGTTTGATTTTTTTTTTGCTTTTGTTTGTTTGAAATCATTATGAAGAATCTGATATTTCCAATTTAGATGAGAGTAAATATAGATGCTTTGATATTAGATAGAAATTTCTTTCTTAATCATTTTGTCATTTATCACCCGCATGAAATTATGGCGCTTCCCCTAAATTCTGCGGATCTTCAATTTTATGAAGTAAACAGCACCATAATAACAGTTTATTTCTACTCGTTTTCATTCTGATATCTAGGATACTGGCAAACCATATGGTATGGCGCGTGATACAGAGTGAGATAGGGAGGCTTTCTAAGCCTTTCAGGGACGCACTGACAAGGTACAATCACGCAACATGGGGTACTACATCTGAAAGAGTGCGTTGGAAAAAGTGCATTGACTCAACTTTTCAATCTTTTGAAGACGTAATAACAGCTGCATATGTCAATGAAAATAAGGCACAACTTGCAAAGAAAATAAGCTTGGTAAGTGTCCGTAATTCTAGCAGATTATGTGCAACAGTGTTGTAACCAGAAGGCATCAGATAAGAGACTAAGCTGGCTGTAAGATCTCCAACGCACGTGATTGCAAACTAATCTAGGCCCCGTCCACACGTATCCGGAAATTTTTGTATCCGCAAATTATTTTTTGCGGATACGAAAATGTTTGCGTCCACACGCAGCGCATTCGAATCGCTTTCACCGTCCACACGTATCCGTTTTCGTAAAATTTGCGGATACGGACACAAAAATTTGCGCACACGTGTGTGTAGGAGGTTTATTTCAAAACAATGTTTACGTTCGATCGATTGGATTTACACACAAATCAGAGTAAAATCCTAGGAAAAAAAGACATTAGTTAAACACGTATAACACCACGAACAAGCAAGGCACATTTAGCTTACAAACAATGCGATTAGAAGACAAAAACAAGATGAAAATGAAGAGAGAACAAACACTTACCAAACGATGAACGACTCACAATAAAGCACATGGCAGACAACACGGCGCGCGGGGTTAATCGGTTAGGGAACACACGGACACTGGATATACGGAACGACGGATACACGGAACTAACTCAATACTGTTGAGAATGCCTCAACAGTGTGGACGCAACCCATATCCGTAAAAAATATTTGTGGATACAAAAATTTCCGGATACGTGTGGACGGGGCCCTAGTCGATCTATCAGTTTTCACGACTATTCATTATTTATGAATATTCAAAACGATTTCGTAAATTTTCTGCGCAACTGTCGATCTGTAGCACACACAAAAAAAGGTTTTAGATGTTAAGCTTGCTACTCTCCTCAGGAGTTGCTCTTTCAAGTGCTACCTGAATCGGTGACATAAATATTATACTTAGGTAGGGTTTTACGTTTACTTTGATTAAAACGTTTGTTGAAGATCATTAGCTTGAGTATGAAAAATTTGGTTGAAGATTTTTTCAAGGACAAAACTAACCCCTGACAGAATTCCTAAGTGTGGATGTGGGGGGATGTGGTCCAGAACGAAAGACACACGAAAAATGACTGTTTTGCATTTTGGTCGAGATTTTTTCACTGGTTTTCATTAGGAGGGATATTATCTTGATCTGGAATAACAAAAAGAATTGAAATGTTTTATGTTTCCCGATGACTCGCCTTCGCGGAGCACTGTACTAAATTGGTAAACCCATCGAGCTGATTGTTTATGGCTTGATTATAGCTACGTAACGTACGTGCGTGCACACCATATGCACATGGTTGCATAACTTGCCAGAACAACATAAATAAACATTGTTAACTGTTTAAACAAGATTAATGTTCAAGAATTCATGTGCTTTTTGGTGAACGATCCTATTGATGGTTTTCAACCATTCCCAAGAGAATTAAATAACAAAAGACAAGGCGGCCATGTTGTAGGATATAACAAAAGAATTCATTGACAATTCTTTTTTTAAGTTCCTACAACATGGCCGACGTGAAAACCATCAATATTTTTAGCACCCTAGTAATAGTCTTCTCCGATTGGCAATTTAATAAATTAATTTCTCTCAATAATAGCTGTCTATTCTGACAATATTCTCAGCGTTGATTCTACGTGTGGTATTGCTATTGAAACGACACCAAAAAATTTCATAGTTTGAATGCAGCTTCTTGGAGTTATAAAGGTTTTTCCATGTCAATGCTAATCACGCTTTTAGGCAGTACTTTATATCTTATGTATTTTATGTACAAAGGCAAGAGAAWTTGTGAATGAAGATGTTCAAGCTTTTAAAGACAATGTTAACTCGCTGACCTGGTTAGATGATGCAACTAAAAATGAAGTATATCAAAAGGTAGGTCGGTAATGTAAAGACCAGCTTATAGTCAAAACACCTCAAGAGCTTTATGTTAGTGTCGAAGTTGGAGTAGAGAAAGCTCACTCCATATATGGTATGGGAGGTTTGGGCATCTAGGATCTAAGTTTCTGCCTTTAATCACTGTTTGCAAAATAAGCTTTCAAAAAAAAAAACTACTCTTTGAAATAAAATTAGCAACACTTAATTAAACGTAAAATGTATCTTTTATAAAATATTTATATCAATTGACACATATTTTTATAGGAATGTCGAGATATCAAGAACTTTTCGTCTCTGAGGGCTATTATTTCTGGGCTCCAGTCTGCCTCAATACATAGGCTAAAAAAATCTTGGATGCAAGTCCCAAGGTAACAGATATAACTAACTAGAGCAACATGGAATGTCACTAACCACTTTTTCTTATAATTTTAGGGAAAAACAGCTTTTATTTTCTGAGCTCTCGTCGATTTTTTCAGAGGAAAAGAATCAAAAAATGAGCAGAGAGCTTTTGATGAAGGTATGGAAATGATCAATAGAAGTCGATAATTATAAAATTCTACAAAAATACTGGGTCCAACATCCTTTGTTGTTGGACATGAA